AGCATGATGTGTGTGGACGTGAACATGTGGAGAACATGCAAACTTTACATAGAAGGTAACCCACATCACCATCAAACCCAAGAGCCAGGAACCAGCAGCTTTGAGGCAGCAGTGCTAACCACATCACTATGCCCTCAAACTGTAGCATACTAAAGATCTGGAACAAGTCCCTTTCCATATATATGGATGGGACTGACATATCAAATGGATTTTTGCTAGCTTGAGAGCCTTACAAGAAAACGTGGACTTGCAGACATGCATGATTATGGAGAACAACAATGCAGAATCAATCAAGGGCAGTGCTCAGTCAAAGGGCTTTGTTCACAGCGCAGACAGACATACATTTTCCTTAGTGCTGCTGGGCGGGGTGAATTGTGGTTATGTCCATTTTCATTTAAGGAGAAGCACTCACCTTTCCGCGATCAACCGCATGTGGCAAATGGAATAGCAGGAACAATGCCAACTGGGGCATCCGCTGCCTGCTTGTCTTCTGGTGACTGTGAATGTTGCCCCAGGGGTTCCCCACTTCATTAGGGAGATGCAATCAGAGACCATGAGGAAGCTTTGTGAGCAGGGAGAATGGATCGTGTTTTTAACCTGACCCAGTCACCATTCTGGGGTCATTTCAGTGGCCCCGAGATAATTCACTTCTGCAGAGACAGGTGCGCTGAGGTCATGACACTTAGGCTTCAATTCTGACATCCTGAGCTTAAACACTTTTTATCTTTTTGGGTCTTCATACTGCTAAAAAACTTATTAGGGGTTCATTCCTGACTTGGCCTGAGTGATTTTCAACTTACCTGTAAATATGGGGATAACATTATCAGAAACAGCCATTGTGCCTTATGTGGAAGTATCTTGTTTCATTTTAATGTACATGCAGTGGTCATTTCTAATCATCCTGTTCATGATAATAACATACCAGAGATGTACTTGGACTATTAAACATACTGGAAAACTACTTGGATTCAGAGCACAATGGGAGATTCATGTTGTTTGCATCTGCTTAAGTGTTCTCCAGAAAATGCCCCTCTTCATAACAAATTAAAACTTATTCCAAACCTTCGCTGAACTGCGCTGTGACTTTTTGCATCCATCTTGCATCCAAAAAGGATTCTTCAGGTACATAAATAGCTCAATTAAATTGCACTCCTAACTTCAACCTTCAACGTAAAAATGACCAAATGAACGTCTGTTATAAAAATGATTTATTGCGCATTTCAGGCTGTAAGATGACCAGGGGAAGGGTTATCCATGACAGGTACAGTATTTCCGGAACGACCAGCTTAATATACACGACATAGACCTGAGCAATTTGGCCCCTAAGAAGAACCAGCTGACCCGCATATGGAAAGGATCTATTCAGCAAAACAACGAGACACAGGTGAGCCTCATCAGGATACGAACTATAAATGCGGTGAACCGGCGTGGAAGTTAGTGAGTTGAATGCGTTTTGGAGGAGATGGAGGAATCGGGTTAGTGTTTACGAAGGGATTGAAGAATAACGGACTGACGAAAGGTTTACGGAATGTGGCTCGGATTGGTTGTTTTACGGACTTTGGAACTCGGATAGATTAAGGACTGGGTTTGGAAGATAAACTGACGGAAGAAACGGAGAAGAAAGAAAAGTGTGGCGTGAGTAACATCTCATTTACATAAGCGTTTTCCCCGGTGACTCCACAATTGGTGGAGGATACGGACAGCCGCTGCTCGGGATTGAGAATTCTGGAAACGCAAGGTTGGATAACCCTTCAAGAATTAAAAACTGCTTTCCCTTCTCAACCGGTCTTACAGGTGCCAAACGTTAAAACATTCATGGTACAAATTGATACTCCCGACACTGGAATTGGAGCCATACTATCACAAGAAATCGATGGACTGGAGCACCCTATTTTATATTTTGGCTGAAGGTTAAACCCCGTGGAGTAACATTCTACCATAGAAAAATGTCTTGCAATAAAATGGGCCCTTGACTATTCAAGGTATTTATTGGAAAGTGTTTATATTGTATACAGCTCATGTGCCATTAACCTGGATGCCTTAGTCTTCAAAGGTTTCAGTTCCAAATGGTTTATAGGTCTGGGAAAACAAGGTAATAGATGGCCCCTCTCAAATGCATTGTTTTTTTTTTCCTAGACGATCTGAGGACATGGCTGATCTTGGTGGAAGGGAATACAAATGAACAGGGGAAGGGTCATCTGTGATGGGTATTTCTGGAATGACCTACAGTACTTTATGTATGCGACAGACCTGAGCAAAATGGCCGCCAAGAAGATCCAGCTGACCTGCATATGGAAAGGGCCTATTCAGCAAAACAACGAGACACAGGTGAGCCTCACCAGGAAGTGAAATATACATGCCCTGGAAGTGATGAACCACTGTGGAAGTTGGCAAGTTGAATGAGTTTTGGAGGAGATGGAGGAATCCGGTTGATGTTTATGAAAGGATTGAAGAATAATGGACTGATGAAAGGGGGGGAAAAAGATTAGTTTATGGACTGTGGCTCGGATTGGTTGCTTTGCAGAGTTTGGAACTTGGATAGATTTAAGGACTGAAAGAATGGATTATGGACTGGGTTTGAAAGATAGATGGAGAGGAACTCCTGGGCATATTAAGAAAAGTGTGGTGTGTAACATATCATTTATGTAACCTTTTTTTCCTTGCCATTTTGATGTGGTGATGGGGAAAAATTGGCACTCAGGCTTGCACTGTATTACAGTGCATAGACACTGCCACACACTGGGACTTTGGTGACCTGAAAAAGGAAATCTGTCAAGCATAATGCAAATTAATGACCAAAACATCCCTGCTAAGTCCTTGTAAGACTGTATGAATGAGTGTTTGAAGTCAACTTCAGCTTCAAATATAAATTCTAAAAAAGCTTTAGACAGTTCAGACTCTGAAAACACTTCTAGGTACTTGGTCATGCAAAATACGCTCAACAGTGAAAGACCCGTTTTAAGTTGCTTTAATTGTCATGAAGAGGGATATTTAGCCAGCCATTCACTCGGCTTGTGTGAACCTATGCAAGTGGACACCAGCGAGGAAGCAAAGTGTAACTACCTCACCTCGAGCATCCCGTCCTGTGAGGATCCCCACATTACTAAAATCAAGATGAGGGAGAACCTGTCAAGGTCTTTTTAGACTCTGGAAGTATGGTGACCTCTACAGCACTTGTAAGGTACCCTTAAACTACACCATCCAGTCACATGCTTCTGCCTCCAACCTTCATTCTTCATTCAAAATGCAAAGCTGGCCGGGCATGAGACAACATGAGCGCTTATTCTGAACCCCAGTCAAGTACAAATGAAGACGAGTTGGTATCTAAAGAGCCAGTGTCGATCATTTGGTCACATTTTGGCTTCAGCTAACAGGATTCTGAACGAAGTCAGATGTAAACTGTAGGGGAAAACCCATTTCTGCGCCCAGACGTAACAAGCAACTTGTTTCATCGCTTGAAACGCAACCATGTCATGGAATACGAAGAGTGCATGGCCAAAAAAAACACTGACAAGCACATTCATGGCCAAAGTGATTCCCCCAAACAGCTCTCTAACTCGAGCATTTACTAATGCCACTCAATATGCAAGTTTCACGTAGATGGAACGAGAGAATTAATGACATTGCATATTATGTAGTGAAGGACATAGTCCCCCTAGCTGCAGTGGAACATAGTGGTTTCAAAAGACCCGTTCAAACCCTTGACAGGAGGTGCATTGTGCCCCTGAATTTTTCTCCTAGTGCAGTGCTGACCTTTACGAAGCCAATAGTTTCCCATATTTAAAACTTTCAGTATATCATGTAATCATAATTTCAAGGGATTTCAATTTTTTTTTGTTCATTTATCATTATCAAAGTAAATGTGTGAAATTATTGTGATATTGATTTGAGGTCGTATCGTCCAGCCCTACTGTAAGATTTCACTCTCTAGTGATAAGTCTACTGATAGGAGTAGTGCTGCTGTGCCTGACTGAAGAATCGCTGTCAAGTGTTAGTGGAGATATGGAGCACATCTCGGAGGTAGTTCAGGTGGGGAGCTGTGTCAGCATCCGTAGGCTGCAAAGGAACAAGTAATAGGTTTATTCATGCTGGGGGGGAGAAAGAAGGCAACGTTTTGGCCGTGGAGCCTTCTTCAGGTGTGTTCTGAAGGTCGCACATCCCACAGGTGCCCGTCTTATCTTCGATCTCGCTCGGCTCTTGTTTAGCATCATTAGAGAAAATGTTTGCTCGCATGTGTATGCCGACCAAACTCCACATTCTTTTGGCATGGCACCTCTGTTGTGGAAATCTGGGTTTTTCCAAGCTCCTCTAGAATTCTGGCAGTGGGAACAAAGACTTATGATAATAAGACCGTTATCTTCCTTCAATGCAGCAACCGATTCTTGGCAAAATAAACGGACACTTGCCACTGAACTTGGTGAAAAAGGGTTCATTGTGCCAGCGTGGCTTGAATCTTCTGCATTCAGTCACTTCTTCATTTCCTTGGTTCTGCCATTTTGAAAAGCTTGTTAATGTATGGAATTCAAGTTTTGAAGAGGGTAAAGAGGGGGAGAGGTTTTCTATTCAGTTCTTGTAAAGTGATTTTATGCAAGGATGGCACCCAGTGTTCAAAATGGGAACTGCAATTCTTACTTAAGATCACTATTACCCATATACAATTTATTGTATTAGGAGTTTTTCCTCATACCAACTTGCTCTCCATGAGATGCAGATGGGGAGAGAAGCTTGGGGTCAGAGTGCAGGTCAGACATTATACAGTGCCCCTGGAGCTGTTGGGGTTAAGGACCTTGTGCAGAAGCCCAGTGGAGTAGGATTCCTCTGCCGGCTGCGGGACTTGAACCAGCAGCCACTGCTCTGCCCTATATTGGGCCTCTATATAGTGGTGGCTATAGTACCCTATATAATATCGGGCCAAATGTAATTCTAATTCTAAATGAACATGCAGGCTGTAGTTTAGATACCCCTGGATTCAACTATATAAATCTAGAATGCAATCATGGTTATGATCTAAAAGCCTTCTACTTCTAATGCTGATGAAGATCTAGTCAAAACTGTGATGCATCTACTGTATATAATCACATGAGTATCTTAGAAATCAAATTACTGCAGCACCAAAGTTCATAATAGTTCTGAGGGTTGAGAGGTTGTTTGAAAACTTCTTGCCTTGAAATAAATTGTCCTAATTTTTAATAACCATTTATGAAGTTTTCAACTTTTTTTTTTTATAGATCACTTCTCTGTAAAGTTTACCCTAAGGTAGAATAAGTGCCATCAAATATTTGCACAGAGTTTTAGGCAGGCTCAGTTCTATAAC